ATTGAAGACTCAAGACAGCCATAACATTATGATTTTTTACAAGTGTATGTACACTTTTGACCACAACTGTATGTCCTCAGCAGGGGTTAATTGAGCGTGCCAGCAGGGACTACCATAACCTCTCTGGGGGGCAAAACATACAGCGCACGCCCGCGTTGGGGTGCAACGAACCGGGATTACTGCATAAGATGCTGCTGACCTAGTTTTGGTGTTTTATTTTTTTTTTCCTTTTTATTTCTTTTTTTTAATGCGAGGTACGATTAAAAACAAAAGAGGTAGTTATGAGGATGACGTCACAGTGGGAACGTGGTGTACCTGTGGGCAGTCGTTTGAGGGTTTAGCTTTGGAACAGGTTAATCTTTTATTTAACATGTAACCAGCCACAGTGAACACGCAACTTAATGTCTGCAAAAGTGCTCCGCCGCAGCGTGCACAAACGATAAATAGGGTAAATATAATGATGATGTGGGGCTGGAAGTGCGTGGAGTGATCTTTGCGTCCCAGAATGCCGGAGTGGTTTTGGTGGGTCAGGAGGATGGTGGAAAGCCAGCCGTGAGGGAAGCAACGGGACAAGGCCGGTCTGCAGCGGCGTGTTACACTCCGATGCGTCTCCAGACTCTGAAATGAGGACGGGGAGTGATGCACTGTGGCAGTGTGAGAGTGCAAGTGTGTGTCAGGAGTTCAAGCAGAGGGCATCTGCATGGGCTGCAGGGGCCCGCCTCCGACTTGATACTTTTTTCCCCTCATTTGATCGTCATGTTTTAGTGCTTGGAGATAGAAACAAAAAGGAATATTTAATTCAGTGTTTCCTTTCAGTTTGAGAACAGAGAATGAGAAGTGAGAGTGAAAAGTTATATTTGTGTGCATTTTGATGTGCTGCATTCTTACACGTGTGACCTTTCTGCCACCTATACAAAGTATCAGAAAGACTGTATCTTTTTCAGAATACTGCGTCTCCTCACATTCCAGACGCATTTAATCTCCATTTTGACTCTCCGTTCAAAGCCGTCAAATAAACGGCAGTAAAATGATTACCGACAAAGTAAATAACGCTGAAACGCATTTGTTGTTCAAGAGAAGAGACATATTAATGTTGCAGCATGGGACTATTTGTATTTTTCCACAGAACAAAATAGATCTAATAGGGAGAGCTCAGTTTCCTGCAAGTAAATGGATGAATAAGCAAGCACCATAATCATGTAAACAAATAAGGCGGGGGAGGTGAAGGACGGATTGATTGCGATGTTGGAACAAAGAGCTGAAGTTAATGAACTATTACCCTGTTACCTCTTTATTAGGTACACCTTTCTAGTACCAGGTGGAAACCCGTTTTGCTTCCTGGTCCAAATTGACATGACAGCATCATGTCTCCTCTTCCGCTTCACTCCAAAGTGTCTCTACTGGATTGAAATCTGGTGACCAGTTTGAGCTGATCTGAGCTTTGTGACATGATGTACCTAGAAGGTTGTTGCAATGTGGTCACGAAGGCCTGGATGTGGCCGGCAGAAATACTCAGGTGGGGTTTCAGCAATGCTCCATTGTTATTAAGACGACTAAAGTGTCAAGAAAAATATCCCCTCGCTATTAAACCACCACCAGTGAAGCAGTGGTACAGTCAGAGTTCTGGTTGTTGTTTTTTTCGAAGGTGTGTAAATTATATTGGTAAATATCGGCTATCGGCCACGACAGCAACAATAATATTGGATATAGATATCTGTCCAAGATGGAAATAAGTATTGTTTGCAGTAGCCCAGTTTTGAGACCAGTTCCAAAGTGCTAAAATGACTAATATTGGTTAGTATCAATATATGCATCTCTAAAACATGTATATTGCTAAATATGGGTCTCTCAACCATAAGAATAACAACAATATTGGATATCCATATTGGTCCAAGATGGAAAATAAACATGAGTTCTGTTTTATTGATCAGACTGATACTGATATTTTATAAAGACGACTAAGATTGGACAATACAATACAAAGTTAGAGTAGATATATCGTGCATCCCTTTTTTGTTCTATACACTGCGTTGCCATAGACATACAATATCCAATAAAGGAAATCAATTTCAATTCATCCACGAATTGAAGCAGCAATGTGTTGTTTATTGCTGCTTTTTTACAGCAATGAACAACATGGCGTTCATAAAGCATGAAAAGATAGTTAACTTTCAGAGGAGCAGAAATAGAGGTGCTAAAAGGAATACATTTGCATGGGAGATATCCAAAATTATCCACGCACCTGGCAGATTAAAATTCAAAATGATTTTAATTGAACTTCTTGGTTTCTGGTTAGAAATGATGGCCATCTCCCAAAATTCTTTTAACATGTTTGTAATAATTTTATACAGATCACTTTTAACTGAATAGTTTTATCTTGTCATTTCAGCAATAAAAACTCTACTTCTAACTGCGGAGCAGCATTTTTCTGGTTTCCCCTGGGATTTAGTGAATTTATATTTAGTGATGAGCTCCAAGTCTTTGAGGTTGTAAGACCTCTTTGCTATCACCCTAATTTTGGCTTCTTCCTCAGATTCTCTGAGATTATTATTATTATTATTATTACTTTCAACAGAAGAAACGAGTTGGTAAAATTAATTTTACGTAAACCTGCCAGAGGGATAACTTTATCTGTCCTGCCAGGGTCGATCGGGTCAGGAGGACGTGAATGTGTTTGACAGATTTTAATATTTTTCTGTTTTACACAAACAATGCACACCATGCTGTCTTAAAATGGCACCTAGACTCACAATGAGAAGGAATTCTTTTTTTGGCAGGTATGAAACCTGTGTGCATATTTTGCATATTTGAGGCTGCAGAAACAATGCGAAACAGTTGGTGAGGTTAGATACTTTTGGCACCTGATGTGGAGAGGAGTGACTCAATCACACTCGATGGGTGTGAAAATCCCTTGGGCGCTCCAGGTAACAGGCAGTCACTCGCTGACATTAACGCTTTCCTTAGCTGAACGTGCTCGTCACAGGACAACATAACGCTCACTAAACGCAACAATATTAGCAGGAAGCTTCGCTAAAAATAATTTGGGAGGTCACGCCCCGTTACAGACTAGAAGAGCCAATCCTACTGCAGCACGAGGGAAGAAAAATAAAACATCACCAACTGTCATTTCTGGCCGTGGTCAATTATTGCAGTCTGCTTTTTGAAATCATAAAAAGTGATATCTACACAGAAGTCTGTAAATCCAAGCAAAGCACAGAACAAACTGACAGGCGGCACTGATTAAGGAAGTGTGTGTGTGTGTCTGTGTGTCACAATGAAAATCCTCACTTTTTCTTTTTTCTTTTGTTTTGACCAAAAAAAGCCTTTGTCTGTTTTGATTTTCTTTCTCCCATAAGTAGGTAATTAGACCGGTCTAATTTTAGTGTATGAATAAACTGGTGCATAAACTACAGTAGAAGGAGAAGAAGAAAAAAAAAATCTAGTGAGCGAGAGAGTCACATGACCTTCCCTCTTCAAGAATCATTAACTGTGACCTTCATATCTGATGAAATGTAAAAATGTTGTCATAAGGAAAAAGGGCTTAACTCTTTTACCTTGGTGCTTTAACTGCTGATACTGCCAGTTCCTTTCACGCTCTATATTTCCACCCACACCTATTAACCCTGAGTGGGGATGCTCATTTTCTCTGCATTCTGCTCACCGTCTCGTATATTTTATGCTTTTTATACCGACATGCAAGCTATTAACCTCCCGATCATCTGCATATAGTGGCAACTGTAACATACATAATTTACAGATTGAACGATTAAGTTCCCATTTCAGATTTCACGCCTCGGTTTTCTGTACCGCGAGGATGCCTAAAGGTTGGAGTCAAGAGGATGTGGGGTCAAGTTTGAGCTGACAATTTCTTTTTTAATGCAAGGGAATCACAACAGATTGATTATTAACACAACATTGTCAAGGTTTTTTAGGGCTTGTCCATATAGAAATAGTTCACCCGAAACAATCTTGTAGTTAAGATTTAAGACAAATTCAACATTTGCTAACGTGTTTAGTTCCTTATGGAAACACTGAAAATGACCCTAAACACTGCAGTAACTATGCCAGGCCTGTGGATTGGTGATACAATGGAAAAGATTGCAGTCTGAATACCAGATGTATCTCTCATTTTTTATATTTCATTTACTTCCTTTAAATGTAATACTTTTAAGAAGTGCACCTGTCCCTCCTGCAGCAAAATATCTCCACAACATGATGCTGCCTCCCCCATGCTTCACACTAGGGCTTGTGTTCTTCGGTTTGCAACATTTACGGCCAAACACATAACTTTTTATTTCTTAGGACCATAAGTCACATCTCCAGAAATTTATGTTTTTGTCCCTAAGTGCATCTGCTAACTATAAAATGTCTTTTTATACTTTTTTGCTGGTTCACGTAGCATTTTCAGAAAGTAGTTTTGCTTTTGTTCTGGGGTTGATTCAACGTTTTTACCCAGTGTCTATCCTGAATGAAATGACTGAACATGCTACGGTTACCGTGTGTTTGAGTGTTGCCTTAAAATACATTCCCAGGAAAAATTTGGTCTGATTTAATGACAGACTGAGGAAAAAATGTGTTTTTATAGTGCGTTTATATTTGCTTTCAACTATATTTAGAAATGTATAAAATACAGCAGTCCAGAACTTCTTTTTTCCATTAAGTTCAAAAAATACCTTCACGGCTCCAGCCCTGGATAGCTCCTCCTAAACTTGCTAATTATTTTTTCTGTTTTTCTAACTCTTACACTGGAGATGTGCTGAAAGATTCATGTTTTCTTCTTTTGTTCTCGTTTCTCCCAGGTTCGACCAGAGCTGTTAAACTTGTCCATGTGACAGGAATCCCAAATTGGTAGAAGGCATGAAGCAACACTGTGATATCTCTGTGGCTGGTCCATGACACCAAACCCCACTCAAACCCTTTCACTATTCACCTACCCTCTGCTCTCATCACGCCAGACTACCACTCACTCACATTTACACCAAGCTGCAATATGGCCAGCAAAAGGAAATCCACTGTGCCCTGCATGATACCATCCAAATCCAAACATGCACGTGAGGAAATTGTTCTGGGCTCGCTACCAGAACTCCTACCAACAATCCCAGAAGACAGCATTCTCAGCATCTCTGGAGAGGAGTCGGCCCACTTTTCTCACAGCTCCTCCAAATCCGAAAGCAGCAGTGAAACGCAGAAAGGAGGTACTTACAGCTGCGTCACTTGCCGATTCGAGTCCAGAGATCTAAATTACTTTTTGGATCACATGCATAACTGCCACTTAGACTTCAGAGCCCAACCCACCTTCTACTGCCTGAACTGCGGGGTGTCGGTTGTCCGCTTCGAGGCTCTGGCGCTGCACAACGCTAACGCCCACCCCAAGATTATGGAGGGCTTGGTTACTGCCTCCCTCAGTGTCAACAAAAGAGATGGAGTAACAACTGTAGAGCAAAGCCTCTTTACAGACAGTGGAGAAGACAACAAAGAATCTGGGATCTCCCTCACTAAAACACCAATCGCAAAGTTGATGAAAGCCAAGGGGGAGCACAAAAAGATTGTTGTATCTCACACTGTGGAGGTACGGAAGATAGACACTGGAAAGGATGCAGACCTTACCCTGCTGAATAATGTGCCTGAACTCCAAAACGGGGCTCTCAGTACGTCTGGGACCCCAGCTATGCCGAGGACCACTGTCACTCATGTGATTACGACAGTGTCCAACCAAGTCTTTCACCAGCACACTCCTCCTCTTTATTCCCCCACTTCCTCTGACGCGAATAAAGATCTTCCAAAGGTGATGATCCCTCTCAGCAGCATCCCCACCTACGATGCCGCCATGGATACTAGCAGTTTTCTCAAGACATCGTTTGGCAAATTTCCCTACCCGACCAAAGCCGAGCTCTGCTACCTGACGGTGGTTTCGGAGTTTCCAGAAGAGCAAATCAAGCTATGGTTTACTGCCCAAAGGCTTAAACAGGGCATCAGCTGGTCTCCTGAAGAGATCGAGGAGGCCAGGAGGAAGATGTTCAACACTGTTTTCCAAGGAGGAGCACCCCAGAAGCAACCTGTGACAGCACAACAGGTCAATCACATCGTAACTCACCACACTGTCACTGGCCTTCCAGGCTCAAAAGGACCAAACTTTCAGATGGCCAAAGTTCCATACAGTGGTATAAAACCAAGGCCCGTTGGAGTCATAGCGACACAGGCCAACTTGTCAACCAAGCCGCATGTGACAAGGGTCTCGTATTCTTCTCCGGTTGCCCCACCAAAGTTTCCATGTACTGCTCGAGCAACACAGGAGCCTACTAAGAGCACTGAACTCACTGTGGAGCAAGAAAAGAGCAACGGGCTGGATGCGGCTGGAAGCAGCGGTTGTGTCAATAGCACCAGCAGCAGTCGAAGCAGCAGTAGCAGCAACTGTTCCAGCATTACTAATGGTGTTGAGAGCAGAAAATCGGTAAACAACAACAGCGACCTGACCAACACCACCAACAGCGTTGCCGCCTGCTCCGCAGACACTAGCAATAACAGTGAGCACTGCGTTGCTGACACCAACACCGAACCAAGCACCAAGAGCAACAGTTTACCAACTGGATCAGAGGGTTTGAACAGCACCACGAGTCAAGTGATCATCGACAACACCAGCAAATCAAAAACAAACTGTAACAGTCATCACAGCAGCTTCATTGTTTGTGATCCAGATGGGGCTCATGCTGACGGGGCTGACGATGAAAACAACAGCCACGTTCACAAGACCAACAGCAGCAGCATTAGCAGTGAAAACTGCAGTTCCACCTGTGATGACAGCGTTCCAAACAAGAATAATGCCAGCAAACCCCCAACTGAAAGCACCAGCACTACTGTCATTACAACAAGCAACTCATCTATTATAGATGAGGGTGGATGCAACAAAGACTTTCCCATGAAAGGCATGTCAATCTTACAGAAGCTCATTAAGGAGGAGGACCTAATTATCGGCGAGAGGGCACGGAAAGAGCTCAGAGTTGACCCCATTAAGATCAATTTTAAAAGGCTGAAGATGAACGAACCGCAGACCACATCCGACGCTGTCCATCAAGAACCCAAATGTGACATTGAGGTGTCGGCCTGCCATACGTCTTTCTCACCACCCTGGGGCAACAAGACCCCGCAACAGCTGCAAATCCTCCGGCAGGCTTTCTCCAACACTCGTTGGCCCAGCAGCCTTCAGTACGAAGAGTTAAGCATTCAGACAGGCCTTCCTAAGTCAGAGGTAGTGCGCTGGTTCAGCGACAGTCGCTACAGCCACAAAAATGGGCAGCTGAAGTGGTTGGAGACTTATCAACGGTCTCCAGCGGAGTCAGATGACGCAAGGAGCCACGGAGACACTGAGGCCGAGTCACAGAAAGACCCTTCACCGGCCAAAAAGAAACTCATTGAGCAAGAAACGATCAAGCACCCGGAAAGGAAAGCAGGGCTGGACTCAGGGCAGCAGCTTGTGTGGCAGGATTCATATGAGCCGCTGCTCGCTCTGACGGGATCCGAGACTGGTGGCAGGAAGCACGACAAACCTGAGGAGTCAGGTCAGACAGCAGTCCTGCAGGATCCCTGGTCAGAAGGAGGAGATGAGCACCAGCAGCCCACAGCGAGTCATTCACTGATCGAACAGCAGACTGACACCAACCAGGCCAGGTAGAACAACACATTTACAGTTTACAGATGCTAAATCCGCTGTTCCCACCCAATTTTTCAGGCACAGAACACTACCCTCTGCTGCTGAATGTTTTGAACCAAATGTTGTCAATTCATATCCACCAGGGAGACAAACAGCAAAAACGAGTCAGAACTAATATGGATCTGAACAGATTACAATATGTTTCTAGATAGTAACAGAAAGCATCTATTGTCACCCTGAAGTAATGCTTTGCCGTTCACTGATAAATCAGCCCCAATTTCCTTAATCTTGGGAGACCGGTGATCAGGCGATACTTGCATGTTAAGCCGATCTTATTCACTGATTCACTGTCCTCGTTTGCTCAGAAGGCTGACTGACAGACCCACCCATCAGGTCACGTCTGCATGTTTGCAGTTAAGAGCAGTCACCCCGCTGTTGTCAATTGAGTGACTTTCTTGCCTTAGAAACGTTTGAGACAAAATTTTAAAAAATCAGTACTGGCAGGTCAGTTTGCAGATTGGTAATAGGCAGTCAGCCGGAAAACTGCAGTCGGTGCACCGTTATTTGCCATACCAGTTGGAAGCTTTAAAAACTAAAAAAAGATGCTGACTTATTGCACATCAGCATGGTGTTCTTGGCAGAACTTTATTCTTGTATGGCACCCAAAAGCACTATTTTGAAACTGGCCAGAGATTTGAAGTGGACGTGGTTACTACCCTCACAAATGAACACTTCCCAAGAGTTCTGCATTGGAATTGCTTGTGAAGTATAATATGTCCTGACCTGGAGTAACATCTTGTTCCTGTTGCCCTATGAATATTTCTCTAGATCTAGCTCTGGACAACAGCATACAATCGAAACATTGACGTGAATGTGAGCATTTATCATCTTTATAACATCACCGCAATACATGGAAATTCTGGACGTTTCGACGTAAACAACTCAGTGATTTCAGACCGTGCGTACGCCTGCCCATGTTACCCGTTGTAAAAATAAAATTCCTCATTCACTGTGACACTTTTACAAGCCCAGGGCTGTTTTTCAGTCAAGAAAGCAAAACCAGTGTAAGTCAGGTGTGGTGATAAAAGCACGACAGCTTGTTGTTTGTAGCGGGAGCTGTGTTGACGTACAGTAAAAAAAGAAGTGTGTACAGGTACTCATGCTGAGTAGTTTATTCAAGCAATCAAAGGTCTGTGTTTTACAAGCTATTTTTAGATAAGTAGGACTCTTAGCACTGAATTATAGATCGAGAGCGCATGCTAATATATGTGAATAAATCTCCACAATTGCCTTTGGTGCGGCAGATTTTCAAAAGCCAATTTAACACACACATGCATGTTTTTTTTCTACTTATTTAAGAAGTAGAATTTTCTTCACGTTTTCTTCTTGTGTTGCCCATAGGGACCGCCTGAGGATGGAGCTGCTGGAGGTGTGATGAAGCACCGGACAAGTGACGCTTAAAGGCCGGCCTGCTCCCCTGGCTATGATTTGAGTTTTTTTGTTTTGTTTTTTTTTTAAACAACAAAAAAAAAAGTGTGTTCATAATGACAGCAGATGTGATTGTAGCTGGACCGCTGGACTCTGACTGAAACTGTGAATATCCCCCTCCCCCCTCGTCCGCCTCCTGCTCCTCCTCGTCTTCTTCTTCTTCTTCTTCCATCTGCCATCACTTCCTGCCACCGACAGAAGAAAAAGAACTTCTCACCTTTTGAGTCCTGTGATGTTTTAAGCCTTTCATGCTTTTTTGTGGTTGTGTGGGGAGGGTGCACAACGAGGTCAGTATGAGGGATCAAAGAAAAGAAAGAAAAGACGCACACTGACTGGAAAACTGACTTGAATGAGCGAAAGTTAGGTTAGGATAGGGCTGTAGGGAGAATTATATATATATATAAACATACATATATATATATATATATAGTTGAAACTGCACTATAAAAGATGGTTTGTACTGCCTGGACAAACAAAATATGTGTTGAGGAAATGTTATTGTTGGCTTTGTGATATTTTTTACTCTTTTTTTTTTGTTCTGTTTTTTAGCAACCAGTACTTCAGCACTGCCTTGAATTTTACTTTTTCTTTCCGTTAGTTGGGTTTTCAATTCTATCTACTCTTATATAGTCACTGTAAGTCCAGATGCAATCGAACACATTTTATTCAGATCTGTATTAATGTCGGTGATCACTTTGCAGTTCAGCTACACGCAAGAGGCTATATACAATGCACTAACGAAGACGGCGATGCTTAAAAAAAAAAAAAAACAGAAATCAATCTGCTTCACTGTAAAGGTATTGACAGCTGTCAAGATCAATACACTACACTGCCCTGCAAACTGAACAGAGAGAAGCCTGTCACGCTACCGTTGCCTTACTCAGCTCTGTCTGTGTGTTTATATGAGTCGTCTGTTCATCACCTTGCTTTCGAGCTACTGTGCTGTCCAGAAATAATGGTAAAAAAGCAACAAAAAAACAAAAAACAAAAAAAAAAAGCAAAAAACAAAAACAAAACATTTTTAACTTGCCAGTGCATTGATGGTCACTGTTGGTCTATATCTGTGAAAAAAAATCTTGTGCTGCTTTCTGTACACTTGGAGATGTTCAACTTTAAGCTGTAATTGTATCGAACATTGTTAACTGGCAGAAACAGAAGAAAGAAAAAAAAACGTTTAAAAGCAAAATTCTCAATTTGATCCCTAAACACTGACAGAGTGAGATCTTGTGCTAGCTAGAGAGCCAAAACGAGGAGACGGTCGCTCTTCTCTGAATTTTCTTGTGTTTATATCGAAGCATACAGTCACTACATGAATCTCACTAAAGCTGCATCTTGAAGCTGCTAATAGCGAAGAACGGTGCTATACCATCCAAAGTGAAATCGGGAGGTGGGCATCCCCCCCCCCAACCCCGCCTCCTACCAGCAGTGTATGCACTTGTGTCGAATGTTACAAATTTATTTTGGTTTGAGATCAATGGAATCTGGACTTACGGTGTTAATGATCACTTAAACTTTTATGGAAAATAGTCTTTGATCATAACACTGTTGTAACATCTTTCTACACTTCTGAGTCTTTACAGAATAAACTGATTACTCAACAAGCAGCAAAAGTCTTGTTTATTCATCGCCTCGCTCCAGTGTTTGTCTGGTACTTAGAGGTTAGAAATGAGTGCGTAGCAGGCAATGTGGAGGAATATAGTGCCATCTGCTGGTGAGAAGTCGTTAGTACAATCTTTCCATAAAAATGTCCGAAAGTATTCATATTTCTTAAATATAACCACAATGTTTATTGGAGGGGATTTTATGTGTAAACAAAGTAGTGCATAATTGTAACGTGGAAGGTAAAATATTTTCACATTTGTTTTTACAAATAAAAATCTTAAGTTTGTGCCATACCCTTTTATTAATCTACATTTACTCTAATTACCCTAAATAAAGCACACCGTAACCACCAGCATTTAGAAATAATTCAGAAAGTAGCTTTGAGAACCATGGTACTCCGACGGGCCTTTTATTTTTAATGCGCTACCACTGTATTTGCGAGTTCCAGCAAATCAAAGTAAATCAGTGTAGTACACTTACCCGTACATGGCTGTTGAACAAAAATGAAGCTAGCTCCTAAGCGTATGATAGCAACTGGTTGGTTTTAGCCTCAACTGCTACGAGTCACAGAATTATGTCTGCACGCGACTCAAACGTTTGCCTGACAGTAATTCGTACCGGGAGTCTGGACTCTCCGTCTCGGCTATTGAGAAACGAAGGTTTCCTGGAGGCATGGACTCTGTTGAAGTTTTAAAGGTTACCCAATCACTGAAATTTGTTCCTGACATAGATAATGCGCCAGTTTGACGCTATGAAGCTTACCGGAAATTGCCTGTGCTATGATCCACAGAAAAGAATTGCTCGAAAGATTTCCCTTTCAAAAACCAAGGCAGGCCCAGTAACACGGCCGCTCTCCCTTTGGTTTGGTAGCTGCAAAAATGAGAAAATAATTTTTGTTACAACCATATTAAGACTCAAATATCTGATTTATATTATACGGCACAGGAGCAGGAGCTATTCAGCTCAATGTGATAATTGAGCTAGCCACATGTTGATGTGGAATGTATTCAATTCCCAGGTTCCCTATTGATGTGTAACCTGCTGTCCATTTGGGAGTGGAACAGGATGAATAGGGTAGGAAAAAAACAAGCATCCATTGAAGACAAATACGGCATTTTGATTTGTAGGATTTTATTGTTTTTTTCCAACCTACAATGAGTTTAAAATTCAAAAACATGATCAAAGGCTATGACATAAAAGGTAAGACAGGAGTAGGATGTGTACTTTACAGCAGCTTACATCAATGCTTCCTGTCAGAAGTGGGACAGAAGTGGAATAAAATGATATTTCACATTAAATGTTACATCATTATTAATCACACAGTTAAAACTTTCCTGCATTGTAACAGCTTGGTGACTTTCATAATACGTTTTTTTTTTTTGGCAAAGTTGACATCCCTCAAACCTCCACAGGGAGGGGTAGACATTTCATCTGCTGACTAGAAATCGTGTTCAAGTAAGAGACGTGGGAGGTTTCTTTTTTTCCTGCTAAACTACCCAGAAAATAAAATAAAATTTAAAAGAGATTGAGAGGACGCTTGCAACACAGAGGGAAATAAAATAAAACATGATGGATTCACATTTACAGTGAAGTAACAAAAAAAGAAAAAAGAAAACAAAAGTCCCTGATAGAAACTGTAAAATATATTCACATTCTACTCACCTAAGTAAATATTGACATGGATGCAATATTACCACCCTTTGCCTGCTCAGACATCCTCTCTTCCTCTCAACAGTCCAGTTTAAAATATTCACCCAGACAGCTTCCACGCCGCCGAGCCTTGAACACACACACACACACACACACACACACACACACGCACGCACGCACGCACGCATACACACCCGCTTCCACTTTCTTCGAAGGCGCGTGGGTGTATTTAAGGATTTCTTTTCATTTTAACTTTCTCTAACAAAATATAGAATTCATCAATAATACATGGTAGGGGCTAAAATACAGAGCGAGTGAACAAAAAAAAAAAGGTACAAAGCATTTCAGGTTGTTATTTGTTTTAGTCTTTTTCTTTTTTTGCGTAACACAGTAGCGATAGGACCACAGAATTCAAAGCGCTGTCAAGTTTTGTCCCTGAGGAGGGACGGAGAGAAAAAAAAATAAAAATACCAGTCTAGGAGTCTTCAAATTACTGGGACTACGCCCTGGACTCTCCATCGTGGATGCAGTTCAGTTTCATTATCTGACGTTGGATCAGATGATTTTTTTTTTTGTTGTTTTTGTTTTGGGCTATCCACAAAAATCTGTCAAAAATGGCCTCATTTCTTCCATGTGTTTATTTTTCCCTGCACAAACTTTTAAAATTCCTCGTCGGTTTCTGGCCATTGAGCAAAATTTATGAAGGCTAAAAAACACAAGTATTCAATAAAAAAAAGTTTGTCGTAGATAAATAAATTGGGATTTAAAATTCATAGTCTTCGTCAGCCATGTCGATAGCCCAAGCAAACTTCTCGCGCTGAGTTTTATTGTAGATCTTCTCGATGGGAACGCCCCACTTCTTACACCTAAAAATAATTAAGAAAATACAGTTTCAGTGCTGCGCTGTTGTGCAATTAAAGATAAACAGGTTCTGGTGTGATCTTACCAAGCCACAGAAATGCGCGGGTCCAAATAGTTGAGTTTGGAAGTGCCGAGGGCGATCTGCTTGTTCTCTTCGCGATCGGTTGCCTGAACCTCCAGCTTCATCAGCTGCTCCTCTATCCTCTGAACCGCCTTTCTCTTGGTTTCTACTGCCCTGTAGGGGAAAACAAACAAACAAACAAAAAAAACTGTTCAGTAAAAAGCATCATGCAGATGTTGGTTTTCATCTGAACAAAAAAAGCAAACGCATTCTGCCGCTCCTTACTTTTTGGATTTCTCATCTCTCCGTACTTTGGCGTCGGCCTTGGCGCTCTTCAGTTCCCTCTTGGCATCAGAAAGCTGATCCTTCTTGGCGTCGATCTGCCAAACAGGATCAGGAGACGGGAAGTCAGAGTGATCTGGGATTGTTTGCGAGACCGGCAGTAGCAAACAGCTGGATATAATGTTATGAGCACAACTAATGAACCAAAATTGTTTTTTGTTTTCTTTTTTACTAGGAACTTTGAAATTGAACTCTGATGTTATAAGAGTCAGTCATGAGATTCTAATCTTCCTGCCCCAAACCTCCGTGGCCAACTCATTTGGTACGGTAGCAGCTTTATGCTTGGCTTTTCATGCAAGTCAGCTTAGATTTAAAAATCCAGATTAAAAACAAACAAAAAGAATACATTTGCTAATCAGGCTAGTGGAAGAGATCACACAGTTTGGTTTCCAGGAAGTTGTTCCACCCAATTTATCACCAGCTATAAATTGTCAAATTAGATTTGATACAATACCAAAGCAAAATTTTGTTTTTGACAAACCTTCAAGTTTATATAAAGACTTAAATGTATGCTATTTTATGTATAATAGTGTTTGACACGCAAAGACCCTCCCCCTGGCTCTGATTGGCTGTTTCTGACTGACCGGTGTATTTCTGCAGATGGCTGTAGGACCACAGGGAAAAGGCAGAGGAGCTGGGTTTATTCACAGACTCTCATACTGTCACAACTGTGATAGTTTTAACAAATATGTAAAACAATGAAAAAGAGAATGAATTCTGTTTTTTGTATTTATAAGCAATAAACTTTAGAAGACATTGCTGATTCACAGATCATTAAAACAATGGGGGAGGGGAGAAATGTCTGAAGTTTTGTGCCAAACAAGACAAAGAAAACACAACTAAAGGCAGAAACATCAACAGAGCAGCTAGGATAAACTTTCAGGCACTTTCACAACATCAAAAAAATGTTTGTGATTTCTGGAATGAAAGCTCAAAAGTTCTGGGGAACGGTTTCCAACCTGCTGGGACAGACGTCGCTCTGGTGGAGACAAAATTCTCTGAACTCAAGTGGATCTAAAGTCTGTCCATCTCAAATCAGAACCACCAACAGGGGTTTATTTTGTGAAGCACCCAACTATGCTAATAAACACACTTTCACACACTAATAGCTCTGGTATTCATGTTATCAAAATATTTTAGCTGCACCGTACAGATATTTAAAATGTACAACTTGTTTTAGTTAAACAAAGATGAATCATTTCAATCTGGACTTAGTTCTTTATAACTTTCCATGTTGGCTGCTTTTTATATCCACAAATCTAATGTGTGTTTTTTTTAAGTACAATTTAACAAATATTTTGATCCTTTATGTGTTTGTAATCTGAGTGGAAAGAGCTCTACAAGTAACGAATAGATTCATTTTTAGGTGGAAGCATGCTTGGCGCTCCCAGTCATTTTTACCTTGGTCTGCAGGTTCTGCATAGACTTCTCGAATGTCTTTGGGGGAGCTCTCTGATGGTTACACAGGATGGCCACGGCTCTGTTGGCCCTGTTGTAGGACAGGATCTTGGCTGGAATGTTGTCGTCCGCTAGAAAGAAGGAACGCAACATCTCAGAAAGCTGAAGAGTTTCTCCGTTTACTCTGGAAATAAAGCCTGAAACTCATTTTAAAGCCTGAAAGTTGTCAAACTTCACCACACACCGTTAGTGAGTTCCTTCAGCTGTTGCTGCAGGGTGATTGAGGCGTTGTAAGTACGGAAAACTTTAGCTGTGAGGCCGTCCATCAGCTCCTGGAGATGTTTGTTCAGGATAGAAGTCTGCAAGAAAACACAAACTTGATTCCAAGAACTCGAACACGTTCCCGAGGAAACGAGTTGAACTGAGAGAGAACGGCTTACATTTAGACGATCAAAGAGGTCATCGTCGGGTTCTTTGTTTTCCATGAACAACTGAAGGTTCTTGAACACCTGAAAAAGTGTAAATTGTGTAAATAATAGGAGAGGTAACATTTTTAAAGCCCGGTTAAAGTAGCAGACCCGTTCTTACTCTTTTCTCCACAGGGACTCTGTTGTAGTAGCGGATCGAGTCTTTACCCAGGAAGTCGAACTCCACCACAAACTCCTGACCTTCGCTTTCTGGGTGCAGTTTGAGATGTTCCACCCTCAGCGAGCAGCAGCCCACCGTGTCCGCCGTCTCCCCTTCCTCCTTCTCATTTCCTGCTCTCAGAGCCAGCTAGTGGACAGAGGAGCACCGCATTTAAGCTTCCATTAACGCCGCAGCGCCACTTAATAAACTACATTAAACTTTTCAGGTCTGGAAAGAAAAGCTGATGTTCACCTTGTCAATGAAGTAAAGCGCCACGGCTCTTTGTCTGATCCTCATCTCCTTGGATTTCCAGTCTTCCCGATACTGCGCTCTGAGGCGGTCCACACACTTCTTCAGTCGCCGAGCTGTTTCGTATTTCTGCCAATCTTTCTCTCCCTGAACGCAACGAGAATTGATAAAGGAGGGAAGAAGGTCGTTAAAGTTAGCTAAAATAGAAAACATTTTTGTTAATGTTTTCTAAATAATATAGGTGATGGGGTGGCGGAAAGCTACAGTCAACTGGAACTATGTAGTGTTTTCAGAAAAAAAATTAATTTATGGAAGAGGATTAGTGCCATGTAGGAAAAGAAAAAAAGATTTTCTCTGAATTCTGATTAATATTCTGAGGTCAAAATACAGAACTCCAAGAAGAAGAAGAAGAAAAATCAGAATTCCAAGTGTAAAGTCAGAATTCTCTTCCAATCCTCTTCCATAGAAAGTAGAGCTACACCAACATTTGTTTGAGTTTATTAATCTATTTATTAGCCTTTCGAACTGGTGTGAAAATGAATTTTTCATCTTCACACAAGCAGTTTACATCAGCTGTTGGCGAATTACGGCACTCCATGATCCTGCTTGTAGAAATTAAGTTGGTGCACAAAATGGCGACGACAAAAGTTGGGAGAAAACTTTGTTCATTTGTTGTTCAAAGATAAGTAAATAGATTTTTTTGAAAATGTCATCTTCTGTTCAGTATTCATTACGCCATGCATACATAAACAATTTTAGCTTTTTGAATTCTGCAAATAATAATGAACCAAAGTATGAAAAATCTAAAACTACTACAACTAATAAAAATCAAGATGTTTAATAAAAACTAGCCAACTCATTCTAAAAATCAATTTAAAAATGGAATTAAACAAAACGTCACAAAGAAATAATGAAATACCCAAAACTACCATCACCCTGCTTTTCTTCAGAGCACCTACCTTGATTCTGGAGCTGGGGTTCAGCATGATGTACTTGATGGAACCTTGGATGTTCTCTGTCCATGAAACCAACCAAGTCACCTTGTTGTCATGGCGAACTTCTTTCCATTTAGTGCCTGGAGGCGGTGTGGGGTACTTCGAGTCCCTAAAAGGAGGACATAAAGCCAAGCGGTCAGACATTTCCCCTGGAGCCGATGAATCATCAGGTCAACCAGAAACAACTTGTCACATACTTGCTGCAGTTTATGATGATGTCCTGAGGCCGGATGCGGCGTTTCAGCATTCCCATTTTGGGATGGTCTCCCCGGCCGCGGAACAGGCCGGGCGGCTCGATGCGGAAGTTTGCGATGCGCTCTTTGTGGTTGTCCATGATGCAGAAGCCGTACTCCTGCAGCAGCCGCTCGTTTTCTTCTTTTATTTTCTGAGAAGAAAAATAAAACATTTTAGTGGGATAAAAATAAGAGTGTTTTTACACCCGACAGTCCAGTAGGCTGTTTGATTGAGGACCAAAATTGCAACGTCTTGTTACAGTTTTAGCTGGTGCGGTTCACCTTCACACTGCACCGTGTCAAACGAACAAAACCCTTTGAGAAACCAGTTCCCCTTCATCAACTGTGGTGGCGCTGCAACAAGAACCACTAAAGGAAACAAGAAAACCCGTGAAGACGACGACACTGAGCTCAACCTCCTTCTTCATGAAATGTGAGCAAAAGAGAAGGGCGTCAGATTTTAGTGGTTGTAGGGTTTTTCTCTTTTGTCTTTGGTAAAAGACTACAAGCCATTTCTCACGCTGGTGCCATTTGTTTTGGTTGTAGTTACTCAAAGTCCACTTCCTGCTTTTGGAGCAGTCTGGCATTCACATACACATTCGTACTGCAACAGTTCACTTCAACTGAACCAAAATTGAGATTAAAAAAAAAAAAGTTAGCTTTTTTTTTTTAAATTCACGTCGGAATTTGACTGCGCAATCACACCTCCCCAAACAAATCTGACTTTATACCAAACGAACTAGAGTTGGATTAAAGCAGACTAATCAAGGACTGGTGCGAATGCACCCTTCATCCGACACCTTTTTTTTTTTTAAGCTGTCAGAAAGTGATGGAGTCATTATAGATTAAAATCAAAGAATTCAGTGAATTATTTCAACAGATGCCGCTTGTACGCTGGTCTGACCTGTTTTTGTTCTTTTGTCATGGCTTTCCTGGCCTCAGACTGAGCCTTAAAATACTCGCTCATCTCAGAGAAGTTGCACTTCTTCAGGTCTGTGATTGTGGACTTCTCTTCAGAAGTCATTTCCTGCATTAGAGAGAAACCACAATCAGAAAATCAATGTTGAACTAGGAGAAGTAGTAGAAAAAACAAATTATATTGCCTCAAGCAACTATTTTTCCCACCTACCTTTCTCCAATCCTTAAAGAAATTTTTACGGAAGATGTCCTTGGTAGTGTACTCATGGTCCAACATTTTGGCGAAGAACGTAGCCACTTCCTCTGCTTCTGGGCTCAGCTTCATGGGTTTACCTGAGAGGTGGTTTTTAGGGGATTAACAACGTTGTAATTTACATGCCAGTTATATGCGAACAGTCTAATCTTAAAGGCAATAAGTCATGGCTGCATTGGTAGCGTACCGTCATAATAAAACTTGACATTGCTAGGCAGGGGTTCGTAGGGCGGAGCAAACACTGGGCCTTTGTGTTCGAGGAACTTCCATTTGACGCCGTCCGTGTACCTCTCCTCTTCCCACCTGAACTCAAGTGACACGTTGTGTTGAACTCCAAACTCCCCATACATGAAGAAGCAGCACATCTAGGAGATAACTCACCATTTCCACTTCTCCTCTGGTTCTTGCTTTGCTTTCTTCTTCCCATCAGCAGCTTCTCCTTTTTTACTTTTGGTTTTCTTGGACTTAATATCCTAAAATAAGGAAGTGGAAGTATTCAGATTATACACCAGAGTAGTTAAAAGTAATCAGGTATTACCCCACACCGTCAAGTCTCTGCTTACCTCATCCTCTTGTTTCCTTTTCTTGGCTTTCTTATCGTTTTCAGTCTTTATCTTTTTAGGCTTGAATTCAGCTCTGAAAACAAAAACACGCCTTGTTAGGAAGGTGAAAGTACAAACTTTAGTTTCCATTGCGACAATTAGCTTTATTGACATTGCACACATACTCGTAATCCTCGTCTCGCTCTCTTTTAAGAGACTTCTGGTATTTAGGAGAGTGGTAATCGTCAGCTGGCTCAGACTTCACATGTGGTGGGCTTTAAACAGGAGAAGAGAAAAAATATATATTTTCTGCACCACATTAGCTTCAAAATTAAGATTTGTAACGTTCCGACAAACCTGGCAAAGCCGTTTTCCTTTTCTTTCTTGATTTTACCATCAAAGGGCTTCACCTGAAAACATCAGAACGTGGTTCAGCAGAAGCATCAGACATAACACATTTCTACGGTTGTTCTCCTTCGTCCTCCTTTTAATATAAAGAGTGTTCAGTTGATGAAGCAGTTGAGCTTCAGACGTGGTTTGTACCGAAAGACTAATGCAAAAACAGAGAAACGTCATTTCTATAGTGTTGTGCCATCTCCAGTCCTCAAGATCCGACATCAGTCACATTCTAGGTCAATGTCTGCAAGTTCGGGGTTTCACCAACTCAAATTTAAGGCCTTTTTAAAACTTGGATCTCCACAAAAAAATATGAACTTCCTTCAGCCAACTGATGATAAATTTCCACTTACTCATGATAGGAATAAAAAAAAGCTGGCCAGCCTCAACAGTCTCAAGTCACAGAATGCAATCAAGATATCCGAGTGCAACTCAAAATTTTGCCTGGCCAAAAAGTTTTGCAAGAAAAAAAAGAGAGAGAAAAAAAAGACTATACTATGATTAAATATTCCTGTCAAGATGAAATTTAGGCCTATGATTAACATATTAAAGGCCAAATTACTTTGAGTGAATTTAAAACATTTTATGTTGTTCATTTTAGATACATTAATTTAAGGATGCAAACACCCTCAGATTCTGCAAAACAGTTTCTTTTTGTTGAAGCCTAAACTTTCTGCCTTTGTAGAACTGTTTTCAAAATGTTGCACACTTTAAGCTTTAATTTGTCCACAACATGGTCTTAAAAAAAAAAAAAAGTTGAAACTTCTGCACATAACTTTCCCTTTCCCTATTCTCATCAGTTCTAATCGCTCCTTACCTGAGCAGACCCTGCCTCATCGTGCTGCTGCTGGCCTCTGGTCTAATGTCTCCTCCCTGACTCTTTGCTCTTACTGTGACAATAAAGATTTCCTTTAAATACATGGAACAGTGAGCACAACTTCTGTACAGAAATCAGACTGGATTGTGTTTATTCCTGGCATCAACTGACAAGCAAGAAATGCAAAATCAGGTAACGACAACATCAGTGTTCTTGTTAAGCTTAATATAATAATCTGGCACAGATTAACTATTTAGCCAACATCACCTGCATCAGACTTACACGGTTTGTTTGGAAGAAAACTCTGCAAGTTTTTTGTCTTTTAGCTCTGGCTAGTTGCTGATCATGACACTGTTTCGCCTCTGCGATCAGAGCCACAGGTGTAACCGTCATCAGCATGTGTACACTGTTGGTGCATTTAAAGACGCCTCGGAAAATCTCATTACTACATCTCAACAGATTGGTGACTTTTTGACAATTGAAAAGACTAACATGTACCCCGTGTTAGTTGTACCGTTGACTGTGCACAGAGCATGAGCAAATCCTACAATATGGTTTTGGCAAAAAAAAATAAAAATTACTGTTAAGAGGCAGTAAATACAGAAAATGTCAACTCTAAAAGAACTGCCTTCCTCTGAAAAATGGCTTCAGTCCAGATACAACGACGCAGTTAGACAACTTAACATTGTATAGTTTACGTTACACCACATAAACAAGCCTGCATATAAAATGTCTCTCCCTATGGTCGACTTACCTTCTCCTCTTTCCTCTTTTCTTTGTGCTTGTCTTTGTTGCCATCTTTGTGCTTCATTTTCTCCTTTTCCTTGGACTTTTTCTCCAGGTCCTTGTGGTCACTGAGGTTTAGGGAATACATTTCAGGCGTTACGGTTCAACGAGGTTGTCTTAACAAGATCGGTTATTGGAAAATGGACGTTTTGGAGGGACTCCTGCTCTACCTGTTGCCATGCTTCGACTTCTCCCGTTCCTTGTCTTTCTTGTGTTCCTTATGTTTATATTCCTTGTCTTTGTACTTGTCTTTATGCTTATGGGAGTCTAAAAAAAAGAAACAGGGTTACTTTCATAAGTGCATAATAGTTGCAGTAGTAAAGAGACAAAGGTAAGCAAAACTGAGAAGTTTCTGAAAGAAACGTTCAATTTATAAACTGTCAAGACAACAACCCTCAGATCATTTTAGAATACTGGCAGACTTGAGCTTTTTGTTACATAATTTATATGCAAAAAAAAAAAATCATGCAACCAGAACTTTATGTGAAATGCAGATAACCCAGCTCGCTAGAGCAGGTGATCCGTTGTGCTAGAAGTCACTCTGGCATCGACATGCAACCAGATTTAGTGCAACGCTGAAAGCATGCGTGCCATTTTGAAGTCAAAGTGGGACATGTTGTGTTTATCTGTACCGTTCAGGACTGGGAAAGCTTTGCTACAAAACGTGTGCAACTAAAGTTTAATTCTTTGCTTTAGTTTTTTCTGAGAGAATAAATTCAGCCATTGCTGACATTTATCTTTAAATTTTGTATTAAACGCAAATTACACTTGAGTGTAATTACAGTACATAACAAACAAAATGGATTAGAAATGTTATTTCCACTATTATCTGTGCTTCTTTAAGAGTTTTGTTGATGCTGTGATTAAAAAATAAACTGGATATTTCTACCTTATTACCCACCTCAATATAATGGCACACACAAAAAAAAAAAAAGCTTTCTTTTAGCACAGCACCACCTACTGCCTGTGTCTTTTGTAGACAGATATGAACAAACTGACAAGTTGTAACCTGCAGCTCAACAATATACGTCTTTAGGGATTTCTACCTAAAACCACTTTGAAGTTTAGAGACTTTAATTTGCAATAATCTAAATTAAAGTGTTACGATTATGCTGTCATAAAATAAAATTGCTACTGTAGTACAAAATTTAATATAAGAGCTCACAGCAGGCAGTCTAGTTTATCAGCAATAATACAGGCGAGGAAGAAAGTCCACAGTTCTTACCAGTAGACAGAGCAAAGCAGATTAAAAAACAAAAAGTTGTTTAGCATTAAATTAAACAGAATTTTAAGATATATACACAAATAGTATTAAATTACACTTTATTGTCTACTCATGTTTATAAAATGAAGTTTTATTCAATAATGCGAGGGTCTATTTGTACTCAAAACGGTCCACATTTAAGCACCATCCAGGAATGACAGTTCAATTTATCTTATGTCAAAAACAACATGAAGCTCTTCAACTTATAGTTATTAAATTGTGTTTAAAAGTTTCCAAATACAAGTTTTCATTAAAAAAAACATGCTTCAGATCATCTGATTACTCCACTTTATAGTGGAAAACTGTCAACCACTTTAATGGCAACTACTAATTTAATGGAGTAGACTCACTTGTGAAATATGACAAACTTAAAACGATCCCCTTTTAATACATAAAGTGTAGAGTTCAGGAAAGACTCAAACAAAGCACCTGAACGCTACAGATACTGGGTCGAGTCTACAGTTCTTAGTCATTCTTTAGCCCCTAACCCTGGCATTTCTACTTCCCAAAGCCATACACTCTTCTCAGCCTGAGTTCAGGCCGCTAACAACCAAAAAAGAAAATGGCGCAGAGACTAAGTCCTCAACCCCCAAACCCTCACTTTCAGATGGAAAATGTGCCACTATAAGCTCATCAACATTCATTTCTGGGACGCGGGGCTGATAAAGCACCTCAAGTTGTCTGCCATCGTTGTTTTAAATTGAGAAAATAATAAGCGGAAAGGCTTTTACAAGGCCTCGCTTTTGAACAATAGAGGCTTGTGAGTGAGACAGCGGACTTAGTCTCTGGACGCCATTTCTGTCCTCTACTGAAAACTAACATAACGTTACAAGAGGCGAGTTAAAGCATCAGAATAAAATTAAAACTTTAGATTTTATCCTCAAGCTCCATGAGTTAAACTTACCATTGACCCGAGAGGCATAGTCGATCTGAAAAATGGAAAAGAATAAATGTGTTAAATTTGGGAGAGCGATGGCTAACTAGCCGGCTACCCAACTTTGAACTTGCTCAACGGTAAAGCGACAGTTAGCCAACCTGCTAGGCTAGCCTAGCTCGCTGCTAATACTATCCGCTGGTTGAAAGCCGCTACGGCTAACACTGGTTTCAGCTAACGACACAATTATTTCCCTGCGTTTACTTTCCCATATAAATCAAACAGCTAACTGGGTAGAACTATTTCGTGACATCCTCACAAATATGCGAGACACTGCAAACAACGAACAGGGGAGATTTATTAACACAGCCGGCTATTTTGCTAGCTAGTAGGCACTGTTCACTGTTAGCCAATGTACCCTGTCAAACCAAGCAAATACACGGCACTAACATGCATCCTAACACCATTAATAACATTACAAAATACATTAACACTACCTGGTCCTCGTTATGGGAATGGTCCCCACTCATTTCCTAGGCCTTCTATGTTTAAAAACAAAATTAAAAAGTGAGAAACGACTAGATAACTGCACACGAGCTGGATGTAAGCAGAATGAAGAAAAGATAGGATTGTGTAAGAGGTAAAGTCCCAGTAGTACACTGATGCGCATGCGTATTAATTTAAATGGTACTCAGCAACTTAACTCCTCCTCCTCCTCAGAAAACGTGTTCCTACTGAGGCCCACTATGGTCAGAGAAGGAATGAAGTCCACATACACATCACAAGAACAGATACCAGCACACTCAGTGCTCCGTGTTCTTTTGGTTATGCTTCAGATTACTGAAAATGAGAACAAAAGGACAACTAATGACACCTTTCTTGCATGATTTTCTATCCATTAATGTTTTTATTTTGACATTGACTTGCCATTTTAGTCTCTGGCCACTTCTGTTTTTTCCCAATCAAACTCACGTTAATTGGTAAGGGACAATTATTAAACTAAAGTATGGTACAGATGAAGGTTTCTAATCCTTTAAAGCAGCATCTACACCACACAAGTCATATGTACAATATATATTTGGGGATATTATTATCCCCAAGTAATAATTGGGGATTATTTTGACTTAATCCCCAATTAAGTCAAAATATATTGTGGATACATTTCAGAATGTGAATTGTATTCCCTTTGGATGTTGACAAATGAGACTGTAGTCTGAAAACAAGTAACTACACATTAGTTAGTTTCCTTTATGAGGCTTCCTTTGAAAATGCAAACCGCAAATTTAAAATGTTCTTGATGCGACATTAGTTCAAATTAACACAGGGCCAAATATGTACTTTAAACCAGGGGTGCCCAAAGTCAGTCCTCGAGGGACGGCATCCTGCATGTTATAGTTCTCTCCCTGGTTTAACGCACCTGGATCAAATGATGGCGCGTTAGAAGGCCTAAGAGGAACACTGACAAGCTGAAAGGTTGTTAGTACCACCAGGGAGAGAATTAAAACGTGCAGGATGCCAGCCCTCGAGGACCGACTTTGGACACCCCTGCAAACCCTATATGCTTTCCAGAAATGCATATTTTCTCACTATTTTCATTCCAAAGCCAGTTTTGAAGCATGCAACCAGAATGTAGCTGGAACTGCAGCATTAAGCTAATGAAAAATGTGCTCTCATTAAAAATGTGTATTATTAAAAATGGCGAGGCCATTGCCAGGAAACCAATTAATTTAAATTAACTATTTGTGGAAAAAGAATGCTGCTCAGGTATACTGCTAGGATTATACTTGGTGGCTACATAAAGCAATCAAGCATGTAGCTCCTCTACGAAGGAAGATTTTTCCAAATTTTAGTCAGGGCTGCATGTGCATAGTTGAGTTTGTAAACAAAGTTTTGAGCTTTATTATTATTTTTCATAGTGATGAGTGAATGTAAACGTCTGACTGGTACAGTTACTGCTATGAGTAATATCCATGTCCGGGTGTTGTGTATTTAGGTGTGTCTGACTTTGTCAAGCCCATGAAAGAGGTTGATGGCGATGCCTTGTTTCTTTATTTTTTTTAACAAAGTAATTAAAAACAAAACCTTGACAATCTTTAAATACATTTCTAGCAAACTGGACTGAAACTAAACTACATTTGACTGCAGAATCATGATTAGCCCTGGTTTAAAATACTAAACGACAGTTAAGGTAGTAATAATCGGTCTTGCAAACATAATTTTGTCCACAAGAGGGAGGCAGAGGGTTGCTAAAATGAGTTAGTTATTCTGTTCCGATACTCCAACAAAAGACTTTTATGATTTGCTCTATAATTCTATAGAAGTTAAACAGTAATGTTTCATTTTGTAATAAATGCTTTTTAAGTGAGATTAATACATTCTTGAATACTTCTATACTGTACCTGCTTGGATTTTGTCTGAAAGACAAGGAGTCTTAATTGCAGAAGTTCAAATTTTAATAAGAGTTTTATACTCACTTATGTACATTTGTGAACAAAAACAAAACAAAAAAAAAAAGAGCAGCAAGTACAATTGTCTTCAGGTAACATAACATGAGGTGCCATTAGAAGATGCCATTAAGTGATTCAATTGCCTGAAACAGACTTTTCCACAGACATCTTTACTGATAAAAAAGTACAACTTCGACACATTTAAAAGGTAAAAACAAAGCTTTTAGAAACATGTCACTCTGCTCTGTGACTTTAAGAGCTCACTTCATCTCAAACAAAAATCCACATCAATTTCAAGCGTGACCCATTTAAGTTCAAACATTGAACTGCATTTTCCATCTTCAATGAAGTTCTAAGCATCCATTTCAGTTCCCACTGCCTGGATGCAATAAAGTGCATAAAAGCCGATTAGGCTGTTGTTGTGGAACACGGTGTTCTTGCGCTCAGACAGATCTACGGTTCCCCGTCGCTTGGCTTTGAGACCGACATTTCTGGGCTGTGGTATAAATACATGTAGGAGTCGCACAGGAGCCTGCGGACCAGCTCCGACGCGAGAGCCGGGTTCGCCCGGGTCAGCTCCTCCTCCGGCTGGCCCAGGAAGTCGCCGAGCTCAGGACAAGCTCGAACCTCGGGAACACTGTAGCCCTTCTCATCGTCGCCTGCGACAAGGAGAGCGGCCTTAAGATTAGTGATCAGCTTGAAACGAGATAAAAAGGCCAAGCCGGAAGACGTCAGAGTTGCTCTCGACTTCTTTATCGGTTACGGTCAAGGCTGAGTTAAAACAAAAATACTCCAGTCAGGAGGAGCTAACCCCCACCCCGAAAAACCAAAAAACAAAAACCGAGGCCTTCCGTTGCACAAACTTTTTTCTTGGGTGAAGTTAAACAAAAACAAAGCAGCTTACCGTGTCTGTCCGCCATGCTGTCAAAGAAGAGCCATGAGTGGGAATCAGGGCCGTACTTGACAAAGGACACAAAGTGGCTGGTCTGAATGCAAAGCACACCAAACAGCTGCATGGTGCGCCTCGGCAGAGGAGTGTTGACGGCTACGCCTTCAGGCACAGCTAGCGTCTGGGGAGAGTGGCTGCACCGCGACCGATGGGTGTGTACCTGCAGAAAACATCGTCAAGAGTTAAATATTCTACTCTCTAAGTCTGGTGAGTGGATTACTCTTTTGAAATGGTTTCCATGCCTACCTGGGTGTTGCAGGTGTTGCAGTACTGCTTGATTCTTCCTGGTTGCAGTTTGTGGTCTGGCAAACACTGGAGACACTCGAACTTTGCCATCTGTCCGCAGATGAAACATTCCCTTGGAGCTGTCAGGTGAAAAGGCAAACGATCCGTGAGCATTCATTTGTTTTCACAAATGAATGGATTGTATGAATGAAAGAAACAAACAAAAAGTCCCTCACAGTTGAACAGGAGATCTGTGACGTCCAGCTCAGTGGATGGAATGATGTGAGAAAACATCTTGTACTTGCTTCCACACCTTGGCATCTGGATTATGAGGCAAGACGGCATCTGGGGGAGGGAAAGGATTTTTTTTAATGCTTAAACATGAAAAGAAAGCTTTGATAAACTCCTTTAGGATTGGTTTTCTCACCGTTTCGAATTTGATGTCGCCCGACATGCAGGACGTGTCCAGCAGCTTTTGGACGGTGGGCGTCTGGCCCATCTGCTCCTTTTCCAGGAAGATCTGGAGTGTGTAGGCTCCGTGAGAGCTTCCTCCTTCCGACCTTTGGAGACACAAGCGTTCGGTAACTTTACTACTAGAAATATGGCATATGCCAAGCATGCACTGTAAGCGTCATGGCAACCTACCGGAGCTTCAGCAGGGGCTGGATGCAGAGCACCTTCTGAAACAGCACTGAAATGAACTCCTCGGGATCTGATTTTGGGGCAAAGCAGCAAAGAAAACCACTGTTAACGAGTTAAGACTCACAGAACCGTCCACACTCTGACTTAATAATAATAATAATAATAATATTATTATTATTATATTATTTTTTAATAGCCTTAATTCTTTGGCATGTGAGCAAGTCTGGCTGCAGACTTTCAATTGGATTTTACTTTGGATTTTGACTGGGCCATTCTAAAACATGAACATGCTTTGATCTAAACTATTTATGCATTTATAGATTCAAATGAACATGTGATGTATTGATATAAAGGATTTTGAATGTAAAGGAGTAGTTGGAAGGAAAAAAAATCTTATATCTTCTATCCCTTCCCTCAAAAGTTAATTTGCTTTAGCATAAATAACTAAACATTAATCATCCATCCAGATTAATCTTTAAACACAAAACAGGCAATAAATGTCTATATATAAAGAAATAATAAAGAAATCATTATCTTTGTTAATGAGTCAATGTATTTCATTATACCTTGATAAAATATTATATTTGATTATTTTCTTTAAAGTAAAAATTGATATACTCTCTTTCGTTCTATTTGTTTAGTTCTGAGTTTTTGTTTTGTTTTTTATCTTCAACCTTCTCAAATTATCTCTTTTTAATAAACCTGAACTATTGTTGGCTGTGCAGTGTTCGTTCTCCACCACACAGAGAGATCATTTAGTCATACTGGAGTACAATACAAATGCCTGCCGTACTTTTTCAGAATTACTTTTGAAGATATATTTTTAAAAACACTAAGAATGCCCTTGTAAGGCTCCGGATTTGCTGCAGCATGTACCTTTTTCGTTTTTGCTGAAGGTCTCGCAGCCGAGTTTCTTCCGGAAGTTCATCACACTCTGTGCAGGCACAAAGCCTTGTCTGTGAGGAATGGAAACAGTTTAGAAATATCTCTTATAAGACAAAAGCAGGTCACGCTGAAAAGTGTTAAACCTGCGTTTTACCTGCGCAAGCGATTAACTATGGATTTCAGGATGCAGGTTATTGGTCGCTCTTTGTCAGCCGGTTTGTTGCAGATGGCATCCACAGTGACAGATGAACTAAACAAACTGAGATAAAGAAACATATCTCTTAAATTCTGCATTTCTCCAAGCACTAATTTACCTGTGCAGAGGCTTCAGTTGAAAAAAATAATGATGAAGTGAATCTTGGCGTTTTTAGAAATGAAATCATATTGTTTGTTGGGGTTTTTTTTTACCTGAAAAGTGTAGCATCCAGGTAGCACGAGTTGATATGACCCTGTATGCCCTTCATCTTCCCCACGAACAGCGAGGCTGCCTCTGATTCAGGGACAGGCGGCGCATC